GAACTAGGGCTTCGAGGATGATTTGCTCCATTGTCGTGCATTTTGCATGGGTCTGCATAGTCTTCCGTGATTCTCGGGTCTTGTAACAACTTGTCAGACGAGAGAGCCATGTTGGGAAATCCGGCGGGGGTCTTTGGAGTTGGAGTGGAGATCCGGGCTTGAGCAGAAGACGGCTCAATGCTTTTGCAGTGGAGTCCTTGAATTGAGCAGAAGACGGCTCAATGTATTGGAGTAGAAATCCTGAGTTGAGCAGAAGACAGCTCAATATGGTGCAGGAGATCTGTGGTACTAGGCCGCTGGGGAATCGGGTGATTCTTCTCGGTCATAAGTTGGTCCCGGGGGTGGTCATTTACTATCCCCTGGGGTAGGTCGGTACGCAATCGGCAGTCGGGAGCTGAGGAACGTTTCAGTACATAGAATAGCCAACGACGCGTTGTATTCTCATACGGTCACCCTAACGCACTGGCCATGCTCGATAAAGCTTAACTTCTGTGATCGGGCGAGAACCAGTGTTTTCAGCATGGTATGACCATTGGCTGTGAGATATCGTTTAATTTGAATAAAATGCAAGAGAAAAAAACATCAGATTGATTTTTCTCAATCAAGTACAACGTTAAAACATTTTTAAAATACAATAATCAGTTACAACAATGATGAAATTTGATAACAAGTTATGAACACCATACTACGATATATGAGCTATCAAAACATTTTCTAATGAAACACTACTAATAAAATGAATTTAGTGATAAACATAACTATATTGAAACAGCTGCGCTAGATGTAAGCGTACAAGATAATAATTAAACTTTATTGCAAATTCAAATGTAATTGGAATTCACACAAACAATTCATAAATACCAACAAAAAAAATCCCAGCTATAAGTTTCAAATTGCAGCTTACAAATCCTTTAAAATTAGATTTAGGAAGAAAAAAAAGGGGGGAGTAGCCAAGGTTATTTAAAAGTAAGAATTGCAAACCATACGCTTCTAAATTCATGTACGAGCATAATAATTATTATAAATAAAAAGTCATGGGATATGCATACACACTCACATCAAGCAAAGAGAAAAAGTGGGGAAAAGGCCATCAATTTTTTTACTCTCAATTCCCCTTTCGATTTATTGGGTTGTTTTTTAATTTTTATCTACAAGCGTCTCCTTCGTGTTATTTGCAATTTAATCAACTGATGAATTATAATACTACATCTATATTGACATGTATAATTAACACCAAATCCAACAATTAAAACACAATCCAATAATGTTAAAATAAAGAAAATACATTAGGTTAAGGGAGAAATTTAAAAAAATATATTCCTCATATTACCTTAATCTGCTACAGAAATTCATCGCTGGAGGAATTCGAATTTTAACGGAAACCCGGTATATCTTATATCTGTTGTCGTAAAATTGAAAACAACATTAGATGAATCAGGCGCCAGCGGAAATTGCTTATATACACCCTCGCTTCGAAAACTTGTCTTCTCATTGGTGCACACAATCAAAATCTCGACAACCCATTGGTCAGTTTTTCTGCTGTTAAATACTTATATATATACGGTAAGTCTGGCAAATTTATCTTATTTGAATCATTGATTTTCTCAACTTTCAAACGCATCATGTCAGATCGTGGAAATAAAGGAGGCCAAATGAGGGGAAAGAGTAGGTCCCGATTCAGTCGTGCTGGACAAAAGTGTAGATTTTGCCACATTGAACGCTTATTGAAGAAAGGAAATTATGCCGAAAGAGTTACTAAAAATGATCCCATATACCTAGCAGCCGTACTAGATTACTTAGTGGCCGAAGTACTCGAGCCATCAGGTGATATTGCTCGGGCTAACCTGTGGAATAGGATCCTACCCAGACATCTTCAAATCGCCTTTGATACCGAAGAGGAACTGGACAAACTTATCTACGAGTTACCGATGTCACTAGATGATGTCCTTCCAAATATCTAACATGTTTTTATTGGCCCCAATCACTGAGAAGAAAGCATAACTAACCCATCTCAAGGAAAAAGTTTTTTTTAAAAAAACGGCCCTTTTAAGGGCCAAAAAATAAAAAGGGACATTTAAATGTTTAGATTTTGAGGATATAAGGTAAAATAATTTAATCATTCATAAGAACTTTGCGAGCAATTGTAGCTGCTAAAGCTAGGAGAATCAATATATTTAAATATTTTTTCTAATTTTTATATTTTACTTAAAAAGTTTTATATCATTTTTGCTTTGTTTTTAAAATTTATGAAATAATAATAAAAAAATAAGTTAAACGTGTTTTAATATTATAATTTTAAAGCTTTTTAGTTCGAAAGTCAAATTTCGAAAACTATAAAAGAGTATTTCCCATATAATTTGTAGCACTTTATAAAAGTGTAACAGAACCTCATAAAGGGGTGCCGAATTTCAACTTGAACAAGGGCGCCTAATACCCACGCGGTGGCCCTGTTTGTTGGTTCTTTACATCAAAATTACAGTTATTTTTCAGGAAAATATTTTTAAAAAGTATTCTTTAAAAAAATTCCATTTTGGCGACACGGTTTGCGTTAGTTTTTTTCAGTGTTGTTTTTCATCATAGTTTAATTTAATATAAATCTTTTTTCAATCTCTTTTAAATGTTTTACAGATTTTGTTCATACTAATTTGATTTCTTCTTCCGTCGAAGACTACCTAATATATGCTTTTTAGGGTAGTATTATAAGAAAGTTTTTACATATACGTATGATATTTAATTTTCCTCTATTGATTAATTTGTTTCATGTTGTCCTACAACCTGAAAGAGCGCAAAACTTTCTAATGCTATTATTTTTCCTGTTAACAATTTTTTTTATTGAAAACAATGATAAAATTCCTGTGCACCACAAAGTATCACACAGGGCTCACAGAAGTAAGTATTAAGCACACAATACAAAGGAATAAAAAAATACATTTTTAAAAAAAAATAAAAAATAATAATCTCTTGAGGTTAGGAATATTTACAAATACTTCTAACAAACTCACTGAACTTTATAAAAGTACTTCTGGTGGAAACCAGTTGAGGAAGATTTGGAGGCCAATTTACATTAAGTCCCTTGAATGCCAGTCTTAGGATATTCCGTTCTCTTTCAAACATGGAACACAGAAGGAGCACATGTTCTACATTTTCCTCACCACCAATATCGCAATCACAGGAAGATGACGGAACTAAATTAAATTTCTTCAAGTAGCTTTTAAAGTTGCCATGACCAGTTAGAAATTGGGTTATTTTGTTATTACTCGTAGTATAAAAATGATGGCAAGACAGTCTCTCATTAATGGTTGGAAAAAAATATTTTGTTACGCTCCCATTATTTGATGTAATATATTCTTGGTTTCAAGACTTCATCAGTCTTTCGTTCATAATCTTCTTGTAAAACCACTGTTTTTTTTTGTGTGTGTGTGTTTTTTTTTTTTGAAAAAAAATATTTTTCTAAATTATTTTACCCCACACATTACCCTTCTAAAGAATATCTTGAAATACAAATGATATTTTTATCACCTTTGTTGGGTTTAATTTCTGCCGTAGTGTATCCCCTGAAATGGCTCCCAACTTGCATATGCAATGAATTAAAAGTTCTAAAAAATACGTAAAAAAAGAAGCTGTCCAGAATCGCATAATTGTTAAAAAATTGCATAATTGTCGCATAATTGTTTTCCCCATAGTACGAACGACTTGCGCTCGGAAGCAAGGATTTGGATATTTCGTCTTTGTGCAAAATTTATAGAGAACATGAATCCATTTTGAATATACAACTTATAATTTTCCATTTTTTATCTCGCGGAACCCCTAGGTTTTTTTCGAGGAACCCCAAGGTTCCACGGAACATGGTTTGAATACCCCTAGTTTAACGCATTTCGTAGTTAATTCCCTGTCAAATCTATTTCTGTTAGAAGATTTTACAAAGTTTATTGAAGAAAACAATTTTTCACACGAATATGTGAACCTAAACATCGTTAAAAGAGCACATTAAATAGTTTTTTCATTGATGTAAAATTATTTTGTAAAAAAAAACCCATACTTATAATATAATATTTTCAATTTTTACTGTGGGATCAATATTATATGCTCTATTTTCACGCAATTTTTCCTTCTACTTCAGAAATCAAACCTTCAAATTTTGTTTTCCACACTACGCTGCTTCGAAGTTCAACTAATTCTATTTCCAAATTATCGATACCTAGCCACATTAGTTCGGTTAACTCCCTTATTTCAAGTTCTATTTTACATGGATATAAAATAAGTGAAATGCATTTTCCAAACTTTTAAATTTATTGAATCTCTCTTCAAAATCTTGCTTTATTTCCAGCATAATCATTACATATTTTTGATGTGTAACATTTTTCCTCTCGGATGCTGGATATTTGTGGAAGTGATTTCGTGAAAAGGGACGGAAGTGTGTAACAGGAAACCGGGGAAGCGTGCGCTATTTGATTTGACCAATGAGCGCGTGCGGTGGCGTCTATCAACTTGGCTTCCGCCCCCCCCCCATCCCTTCATAGTTTCTTTACTAATGATGACCTGCTTTGGGCAAAGGTTTTTGTTGCACACTAAAATATCAATCCCCATGTTAATCCTATGGTGCCATTTTTTTCACAATATGGGGTTGATATTTGGGGGATCGATAGTACTACCTGTTTGTTTAGGAAGTACAAGAACTCGACCCTCATGTGCCTCTCCCCCTAGACAGCATTTTGCCAACAGCTCAGATGTCGAGCTATTGGCAAAATGCTGTCTAGGGGAGGGAGGGGGAGTGCGTCCTCTGTCTAGTCTTCTCAGTCCGCTTGGACCTAGCTCATTCGATCTCTCTGCCTCCATTGTATATTCTCACCTAATTTCTTGCTCATAGGGTCATTCCTTGTATTTTATTTCAACGTTTTAAACATTTTAAAACTGTTTAAACTCTTTAAATCTGTAATATCTTGAAATGTTTTACAGATTTAAAAAGCTGCTTTGAGATTTGAACCACAGGTTACCCTCAGTGAGACCCAGCCATTTGTTTACCTTAGCCCACTTTTGATAGACCTAGGGGCTCCAGAACTAAAATATCATGCTCCCATGTTATTTTTATGGGGTTGGGTAAAAATTTTGCCCCTCTTTGGAATTGAGCTAGGGTCTTGATATTTGGAGGTTTGATAGTATTTCGTCACATCGCGAGATTTTCGAGAAATCGAACTCCTCAGGTGCTTCCCCCTACAGGGCTATTTCCTTTATATCTCGAATCCTAGGCCACCTTGGTCATCCGTAGCTGCCTGATTTGATAGATAGCCCTATGAGCTTACTGCACGTTTAATTTTATGTTGCATAATCATATTTCCTTCCCCTCCAATTTCACTTTTTTAAAGTATTTTAAATTTTTTAAAATCGTTATCTCTCAGGATTTTTGAGTCTCTCTCTCTTTGCTTTGAAACTCGAACCATAGGCTCTCCTCGTCGAGCTACTTCTTTTTGTCCAATTTGTTCTATGGTAATGGGCCAGTAGGGGGCTTCGTCACTAAAATTAAAAATCCCATGTT